AACTTTTTGAAAAAATCTTAAACCTGCAATTAAGATTTTTGTTTTATGTTTGGGGCAAAATGAAGTTTAGGTCTTTAGTTGCATTTTAAAGATTTTTTATAAAGTTTTTTTTATATTTAATAATAAGGGTAATTTTGTCTTTTTGTATCCAAAAAACAATCATGCGATACTAAAATAAGATTTTCTAAAATGTCAAGATACGGACATAAAATTATTAAAAATAAAAGATACCAAACTCATACTTTGATATAATACACGGTTTAAAATAGAATTTTCTTAAATACAAAATAATAATAAATGCCATACTGTTTTCTACTTTTATTCTTTTATTTGGAAGAGGCACCACTCTCAAAGTGAATATTAAAAAGCCTTTTTAGAACTTGCATGCAGTTTCAAGTCTGACAGGCTAACTCACGCCCCAGGCCCCAGCAACATAACAGCAAATAAATAAACAAGTAAATAACAGGCTGAAGATGCAAAAGATAGAACAGAACAAGCGAAGAAACCAGTAGTATTACTTGAAACTAAAATTTGTACCACTTTTTCTACATGCTGGATAAATACATTTTTTGCATTCTCCATTGCCATATTTTTTTTTTCAGTACGTTATGTATTCGAACGTCTTCAATATAATGCTAAATTCATATTCCAATCTCAAAATAAATTTGAATAAGAAAATTATTTTTGAATACAATGTTTTTTTTTCCTTAACTTAGTAGCAAATTAAGGCATTGTTCATTTCATGACTCACGTCATAATTTAAGTCATATTGCTACACTATTTTCTTTCACAAAAATTTTAATGCATTTTTTTATTACAGTATTTTTTTATCATATACACAACTCAAGTCATGAGTTGAGTTGTGCAAATGAACATACCTTAAATGTTATTAGTTAATATGTTGAATTTTTCATCTAATCATTTACTATATTTGCATTTTTAAATAATTTTAAAATGAGAAATTTACTTTTTATAATTTTTAAAGTTTAATGATTATGACAAGAAATAGATTTAACATTCAAAATAGCAATATATACAGTGGAGAGAAAAAAAAACATATCCAAATATATCATTTTCATACTTTTTTTTATGCCAAATATACCATTGACATTAACTGTAATGACCGGAAAAATAATCTTGATGTTAATTAGTGTAATTTAAGTAATTAAATCATAGATTTTCTGGATAATGACGTGTTTTGTAATGAAGGATTTATGGAATAAATAATATTATTCTAAAATTCTATATATAAAATTTTATGTTATGACTCGGTCGATAATCCTCACCGCGAATTAAGACGGGAGAAATTTTTGATTCGACTATGACTTGTAATTCTATTCATAAGAATTCCCGAGTACTGTACAATGTTAGTAATGCTCTGAGAAGCACTCTAACATTTAAAGAAATTCTTAATTGCCAATTAGTAAAATCGGAGTTACGTGAGTTGTGTTTTCAGTAAAACCGTAATGTCGGGCTCAAAAATCGACACTGTCGGTTACCATGTTTTACTGAGAGTTTAAGACACGTATGTTGAACTCAGATTTCTAAGTTATTTTAAGACATATGTTAAAGTCAGAAAACAGCCCGAATAATATACGCGATTTTAAATCTAAACCGGTATTAATTTCTACCGAATATAGTGTAGGACTGTGTTTTAAACAGTGTACTGAAAACCGCCATAAAATATTTGTCTGCAAACTGATACAGAAATTACTGTGAGTATAAGTTTGATTTGGCAAAAGAAGACTTTAGTGGGAGATAAGGATGTGACTTGATTTGACATTGAGTTAAAAGGTGTCATAAGTCATCATTAAGGAGATTTTTCTCTCTTTTTCTCTTAGTCTTGGACAGCCCAAAATTAGCATGGTCAAAATTTTTGTCTAATTAGTGAGGCTAAGAAGCCTAAGAATTATGGTTAAGTATAATTAACCAATTGTCTATAAATACCACCATTTAAAGTTAAGCTCATTTTACCAGTTTTCTCATTTTTTTTTCACTCTCTCTCTCTCTCTTTTCACCTCTCTTGGCCGTACCTCACAAGCCCTCTCTCTCAAAATTTTCCATCTCTCACACACGAAGGAGACTTCAAACCACAATCTAGAAGAAGGAGAATATATTTGTGTAGGAATTTCTAGCACATTCAAGGGTAAAGATCAAAACTTTTCTCCTTTCATTTTCTTTGTTCAAAGTTCAAACTCTCCTTGAAAGTTGAATCTTTGTAGGAATCTCACACCTAGGTGGTCAAAACCTTTCCTCTCCTAAGTCTTGTGCTAAGACTTTTCAAAACTTATCTTGATCCTTTAACTTTAAGAATAAACTTTAGATTATTTACAAAATTGTGTTTTATGTGTGTTAAAAGGTTAGATCTTCACATGCATGGGGTTTTTAATGCTAGATCTATATTTTGAAATTGTATTTCATGTTTTAAGGTTGCTGTTTTGTGTGTTTGGAACAAGTTCTAAACTTTTCATGTTAACCTTAAGAGGATAAAGAATAAAAAAAAATTAAGTTGGTAAGCTTTATTTTCAGATAAAAATTTTTAGTCCATTTTGACTTAAAATTCAGAGCTATTAGAATCGAAATTGAGAAAAATGCTATTTCACAAAAGTTGTAGATCTTGATGTGCTAAACATTTCCTTAGAAGAGAAAAATCACAATTCTGCCCCTAAAATGTGTTTTTAGATGTTTTTCCAAAACTGCCCAGAATTTTATCAAAATTGTCTAAAGCTGTCAACTTGAAGTAGTTTCTATTTTGCTGTTTTTGGCCTTTAGATTGCAATTTTGGGAGTTTCGAGGCACATATTTTAAATTTTTTGACGTTACGAACAAATCTCTGTGACTGCGAAAAATCACAGTTTTGACTCTAGGACGTGTTTTCGGAACGTTTTCAAAAATAACGCGAAATAATATTTGTGCCCCCGTTATTTTAAGATTTTGGCCCCGTTCCGAGGCCGAACCTCATTTTCTGTGAAACACGACACTTTTAGATCATATTAAGATGAAATAAGAAGTTTTTAAAGTGTTACAAACTTATGGTTATCTTCTAAAATAAATAATCACTAAGTGCTTACTGGGCGCAATTCCTAGTAATCGACGATATCGCTAGTGATAAAATGGGATTTACTAATGATTTCAAAATAAGATTTGGATTGAGAGTTTTTAACACTAAGTACGGGCTCAATACCCGTACTAAGACAGCCCGTAACTTTTCAAGCCTAAGTTAGACACGCTAGTATAAAGGATCATTGTAGACATGTTTGAGACTAGTGAGCCTTAATATAAATTTTGGGCTCAATCTAAGAAATAATATGAAATAGTAACATAGACAAATAAGTTATTAACCTAAGACTGATTAGCAAGGGCAATTAAGAAAAAGTATATGATAAATATTTATTAAAATAATCTTTGTAATGGAAAAGAAGTTAAATGATCCATATTTAAAAAGGAAATATTTCTAAGTATAGGAATGAATTCCTAAATAGACTAAGCTAATAGACTAGCTTATAATGAGTCAAACTTACACTCTCGTGGGTTTCTTTACAGAACACAACAGTAAAGGTTAACTTCGGCGAGTAATATAATATAGTCTCAACCTTGACTGAAAGCAGGTAAGTGGAAATCTCACCTACAATATGAATAATTTTAAAGTGAAAAATTATACATTTCTTATATACATGTTTTTGCTCTATGATATAGAATGTCATGTCATATCATGTAACATGCTCACTAATGAAATTAATGAGAACAGTTTAAAGTTGAGTGTAGTACGAACCTCCCAAGATTGGGGGTTTATGTTCAGAAAAAAAAATGATGAAATGAATTATGGTCACAGTGTAGTTGGGGACCTTGCAAACCCTTTCTACTCGCTGATCGCGCACAATCAGTATGAACACTCGGGCCCATAAGATTAATAAATCAAGTTTATAAAAGAGCATAATTGGTACATGCATTACTGTTATGCTTTAAGTACTCTGTTTTTAATTAGCAATACTTAAATACTCTGTTTTTAATTAGCGAGACTTAAATTCCTACTTACTGAGTATAAACTCACCCCTAAGATGTATTTATACTATAGGAAAGCAACAAATGAAAAGTGAATGATGGACAATGCGCAACAGTAGGCGATCAGTGTGGAGAATGGGAAATGGATACCGCTCACATTTTTATTCCGCAATATGTTTTATTATGAGAATACTTTTTTAATTATATATATGTAATATGGTTTTAAGAAAACTGAAACTTCACTTATAATTTAAAAGTTAAGATATGATCTTTTGAAAAAAAAAAAAAATTTATGCAAATTTCACCTTAATTAATTAAAGTATTTTAAGCGAATTCATGATAGTAAGTTTAAGAGACGGCTTCTTAAATTGCGTCGTCATATTAACATTTATATTGAATATTGTGTTAGTATTTAATAATTATTGATAGTAGTATATAACTATTTCTTTTCCAAAAGTGGTAGTATTACAGATTTACCGTGTTACTGAAAAAGAATAATAATATTCTCCTCAAATAGGGTATATTATGGCAAGTTGACACAATAAGGAAGAAAATCCCGAGGTCCAACTAAAGAGCAGGCAGAATATCTTGGCTGTCTTTTGTGGGTCTCAAAGGTGGGTCGGAGTGGAGGTTCATGTTGTTAGCGCATCTACGTTAATGGTAGACTGAGAATTGGGATCTAATACTTATCAAGCTGTAATTCTCTAGAAATTCCACTTCTTATATGATATTATTAAACGACGTGAAAGTGACTTTAAAAAAGTGTACATAACTCAACTGTCGTTAGACGCTATATTTTTCCTTTCCCATCTAGTGTCTTTCCTAGCCTGTGTTCAGCGAAGCGAATCACATCTCGTGGTATCCCTGAAAAAATGTGTGTGTGTGTGTGTGTGTCTGTGTGTTCGCCAACTTGCGTATCCTACCGCCCTTTCCTCCAGTTTATAAGGAGCATAGCTATCTCTTGCCAACCATCTCTTGACTTAAGTCCTCTTCCTAAATTGAGGCAACTCGTCCTCTGAACTCTGTTTTACCAAACAACACTAAACCAACACTCTACTTCCATCACTTTATAAGCCTAGAGTACTAATGGCATCAGGCTCACTCTCTTACGCGCGTAGTTCAAACTCCTCTTGGACGCCTAAGCAAAACAAGCTGTTCGAAATGGCGCTGGCCGTGTATGACAAGGACGCCCCAGACCGCTGGCAAAATGTGGCCAAGGCAGTCGGCGGGAAGACCGCTGAGGAAGTGAAGAGGCACTATGATATCCTTGTGCAGGATCTCATTAACATTGAATCCGGACAATTCCCTATACCGAATTACAGAGGCGCTCGAAGCAATCCTGCAGGCGGATTTGGTGATGAGCAGAGGTAACATAATATACTTACTACGATCATACACGAGATCACTGTGCGTCCATGTTTGTCCGCAACAGTCTTGATTCCATTTTAGATAACAAATACCTATCCACACAAAACTAGTCGTTCTCTTCTAGGAGTTCTTAGTTCAGAATTGCTAGCTTAAAGCGAATTCGTGACTGCCACAATCTTAATTGATAGTTAGATTGAGATGTCCAAATTATGTTGTATACGGATTGAAGAAAAGACTATTAACTATTTAAGGCATCCCAAAACATAATAGCCAGGTAATATGCGTCTCTTATCATTATCTATGGGCATTAAGTACGCGTCATCTTCAGGTATGCACAAAACAACGTCTGTAAGCAAATGAAACATGAATCCGCACTCACATTGTAGTGTGACTAGGAGGTAGTAAAATGCACATCATTAGGATAATAGTCAATAACTCTGTTCCTAGGAAGGTGAAAACGAAAGGAGCTTCTAGGTAAGATCGTCCCTTAGATTGTGGATCACTAAGCTACAATGATTTTTAAAATCCCAGAAAAAAGGGAAAGATTCTTTAGTTCTTAACTAGTCCACGTATCATGTTAATTTACCAAGATGTCATCCACTCTCCTTTCCTTTATTGGCAGAGACAGTTAGACCAAAGACACCGACATCAGTTCCAGTTCCACAAAAAGCAATTTTTGTATCTTTTTCGCTATTTTAATTCTTAAATAGCCCATCCATAATCTATCCAACTTTCTAAGCAAAGAAAGCCCACATGAAATCTAATCCCTACTTGTTCTAGATCACATGCACATGCTTCTATAGTTGAAGCTCAGACCGCCTAAGGTAACATAAATTATTATAATATTATGATTAGCCGGTGCTACTAGTATTGATGAGGATCAATCACTCTTTGACGTTATCCAGTTATTTTTAAATTATATTTTCACATTCTTTCTCTAATCCACGAACTTGCTAGCGACAGTGATTCTTGGATCCAGCTAAACATTTTTGGCAGAACTAGCAATTCAAGAAAATGTTATAGCGCGACCAACGTGCATTAGTCGGCTAATATTTCTTAAAAGAGAAAGGAGTGTTTATTTTATTTTATTTTATTTTTTTAAATTTTATTATATTCCCACAGATAGGACTCCAACTGTGAGATATAAATATATCTTCTATAGCTATAGTTCTTACACTCCATCTAGGAATGTCAACTTTATTTACACCAACCAAAATTTTGCATGTTGAATACCATAATAATACATAATATGGTTTATCTGGCATCACTTTTTTTTTTCTTGGCTATACAGGCTAATGAAGAATCTTAAGCTCTGATGGGGGTTTAAATAGGGAGAATCACCTGTAAAGAAGAAAATGTGTGAGAGAAGTCTAATGCACTATTGTTCCTGCGGTTGCTCCTTCCCACCAAGTGTTAATCATGTGTTAATATCTATCAGTTTGATCAACTTTTAAAGCTAACCATCTGTGTTTCTGTCTGTCTACATAACAGCTCTATGACTATTGTAACGGATTTTCTACAAAAAATACATATCCTGTTTGTTTCTATTTTTGTTTCGATAATTTATTCCCTTTCGTCGGTCTACAGCAACAATGTAATAAGTAAATAAAGAATTTAGAGATGATTATAAAAAAAAAAAAAAAAAAAAAATAAAGATATAAGAGCAGCAAAGCTTAGATCCAAGATGAATAGAACAATGATCTGCAAAACAAAGCATCGTTTATGATGATCTCAGATTGTAAATTTATCGTTTTAATTACTCAGAAAACAGGACCATATTTCAGGTACAGATTCGAATGAGGTAATTGCATCAAATCATCGTTGTCAAAATCAACAGGAGTGATCAAGATCAACTTTAAATTCGTTTTATTAATGAAAAACATAATCAAGCAAAAACTCAAATTACCACAATTGCAACAACCATCGTCTACAAATCCCAAGGCCGAAATCATAAAGCAATTCGTTTAAAGTCAAACTAATCATTCCAACGACATAACGCGACGTAGAGAGAGGAATCGAGAATCTACAAAATTAAGAAAAGTTTATTTTCCTCTTTTAGAACCGCATTTATGTTTTTTTTTTTCCTTAATTAATCAGTACAAATCAAAATATTTCAATTTCAACAATTATCGCATCCAAATCCGGAAGTCGCAATCACAAAACAGCTCGTTTAATCTCCTCATAAGTACAAACCAGAATCGAGAAAATCGAATCATTCACTAACACCATAACTCGGGGCACGAAAATCATGGTCGACACAGAAATAAAACAATCGCATTTATTTTATTACTGTAGAAGGGGAAATTTTCAATTTCACCGATAATCATATCCAAATTCATAAACCGCAATCACAAAGTAATATGTTTATGAATCTCGTATAATGCTAACTATATCAATCAAAGCGAATCGTTCCAATAGCCCTAGGTAGAGAGATCATCGTCGATTCGGAGATAAAAAATGCAATAATCATTGAAATCTCTAAGAGGGAGGGAAAGCGAACCATCATATCCACATTCAAAAACCGCAATCACAGTAAATATGTTTCTGAACCTCATATAATGCTAACCAATATCAAGCAAAGCGAATCGTTCTAATAGCCTAGGTAGAGAGAACATCGTCAATTCCGATGTAAAAAAAATGCAATAATCATTGAAATCTTAGAAAGAGAGAGAGAAAGAACCATCATACCACGTAGTTGCGAAAATGTAAACAAGAGTAGTGTCATTTGCAAGGATTTGTAATGTGGATTTGAGCTGTTAAAAAAAAATGTATTCGGAAATTTTTGTGGTAGGAATAGATCGTAGCCGTCCAATTTTAATCAAGGAGAATGGTCTTTAAAAAGGACAAAAACTTTGGAGAAGCGGGGTATCGATCCCCGTACCTCTCGCATGCTAAGCGAGCGCTCTACCATCTGAGCTACATCCCCTGATGTTTTTCCTGCACGAAAGAAAATATTATAAGAATAATTTACTAAAATAACAATTACGCTCGATCTTTTCCTAATTTTTTCTCTTGGATTACAACGAAATAATGCGACATATATGTATATGAGAGGACATGCCAGTCATTAAATCGGGTACAATCGAAGAGGAAAATCAAACTATAATGAGCCATATGCGTGATACTACACCAATATCATTGGGCGACATTACTTCTTAAACCGTTGAAATTCAAAGACCACTATAAAACGTTTCAGATTTTATTCTTTCCTTAAATATTCAAACATTGCAAATGTTCGTCAAATATATTAACGATTCAAAAACACACATACATAAGGAAAACAACTCAGAACTTTGCCTCCAAGACTAGGCAAAAATAATTAAAAAAAAATCCAAATAAGTAAACAACTTATACAGCCGTTGATTTTGCCGAAACTACGCGGTCATTTTCGTCATCGAACTCAACGCCAGTGATCACACCGTTGACTGCATTCACGCAAAACCTCCTGGACCGTACACCTAATCCCAACCAGGCTTCCCCCCTCGTAGTGGTGTCCAGCGACACACCGAATGCCCCGGCTAGCTCTCCACGACCGTCCGATAATATCATGACCTTATCCCCACCAACACTCAGATTCTCTCCCCACGCTTTCATCACGAACACATCGTTGACAGCGACGCAGGCGATCATATCCGAGCCCTTCGCTTTGGCCAACTCGACGACGCGCTTCACGTACCGAGCGCAGCCGGGAGAGAAAGCGGCCGAGACACCGACGACGGCGACCTTCTTTCCTTTGCAGAGGCTCGAGAGACTCACCGTCTGAACGACGTCGTTCCGGTTGAGGTAAGAGAGGGTTATGTTGTTCGGAACTTTCTTACCGACCTGGATGGGGAGCCATTTTGATTGTTTAGTACTATTATTATTATTATCACCGATCATCATCATCATCCGACGAAAGGGACGGACAGTGGAGATTGGTTGGATGGTCGGCGGTGGGCCCGGCGGGCCATAGAAGTTGACAAGCGATGATCTTTGAGATTTTGGGAGGGTGGCGTGCGGGTTCCAGGAGGTAGTGGAGATGGGCTTAGGCGCTGTGACTGAGAAATTAGGGAAATTCTTTTGGTGAGGATTTGAGGAGGAAGAAGAAGAAGAGGACGACGACGTTTTTGCAACTGCGGAAAATGTAGCTGCAATGTTGTTGACAGAGGAAGCCATGGTTATGGTATGGGATTTGATTGAAAGAGGTACTGGGAGAGAGAGGGGTTTAAGGATGGGTTTTAATGGGTATAAGTATATATTCTAGAATCATCTAAAATTAAAACTCGAATTGTGAAAAAGTGGTTTGCCTCGTGATTTACGTATAAATGTATCCGCGGAAGGAAGAGACAGCGATTAGAGGGAATGCGCCAGTTAGAAGGCACGACACCTGCTGGGAATTTGGCTCCAGCTCCGGGCGTATTTTGATCGCCCTGGCAATTCGTGCTGCTTATTGCAATTGCCATGTCTTGGTGGGCAAGAAATGCATAATGGGTGAAGCCCAATACTCTTTGTGGCCGAAATTTGGGATTTAAGACAGCCCAACATGATCCTTGGCTGGATAGTGGATACATTGTCGTACAACAATACATGCCGCGTCAGACAGACCCAGCCACACCAGGTGGCAGGTACAACATTGTGCAAAGCCCAAAACCAGAATCTTTATTTTTCTTCTCGTTTTTTGTTTTAAAGATAAATTCTTCAATTAAGGACGATCGAGGACCACTGGAGGACTCAATAATCAAAGTCGCTATATATAGAGAGAGATTAAAATGACTCAAATTAATTAGATTTGCAAGAGTTCTGTGATAAGTTATGAAAACAAAAGCTAATAACACGCAGTGATGATAACTAAAATTTTGAACACAAAGAACGTGAAAATACTTTTTTTAATATTTTTCAATCTCTTTTACTTTTTCTCTTTTGTCTAAATAAACTTTTCATTCCTCTTTTAACAAACTTTGTAATCTAATTTAAATCAATTTTTGAAAGTCATAAAAATATGAATTTAAATAAAAGTATAGTTTACTATTGATTTTCTTGGGGTTTTAGCCTGAAATAATAGTATATTTAAACAAGAAACAATTTGCAAAAGAGCTTATAGTTGGGGTAAAAAATAAACAGCCCCTCAGGCTTAATATAGCTACGTCGCTGGTAGCGTAACATTATATTAAATTACCAAATCACATAAGAATTAAACCAAATTAATAAAAGGATGAAAATTTATAAAAACCAATGAGAATCTGACTATTTAAGACTGTATTGTTATCAATGTGTGGTATTTCTTTTCATACTCTTATCATAAATTCTCATTACATATTTTAATCCCTTGTTTTCTTTTATCATTTTTTTTTTCGAGAAACAATATTATCAAGGTCATCTCAAAGTCATCTAGCTCAACAAACTCAGATGTCCCCCACCAAACTTGCCCCATTCAGGCATGCCAACTAATCTTCTTCCATCAAAACAAAAATATCAATCATATACTTTCATGCATTACAATAAAAACAACAAACAAACATACTGAGAAACACGAGAAGATAATATCTAGTTCTACGAGATCATTTCCTTCACCCCATTTAGCAAGCCACTATCAAAAAGAAATACAGACACAGAGTTTGGAGTAGTAAAGAAAAAGATAAAGAGGAAGAGAGAGAGAATAGACAAACTCCTGAACACAGTCCAAATGGCCAGGGAAAAAAAAAAAAAAAAACCGCTGAAAGACAATAAATTAAATAACAATAACATGGTTTTCTAAGCATAAGAATTAATCATGTTCACAAATTTCCCCATCATCAATGCCCCTCTTACACCTCCCTAATTGTACGTACGTATCACCTGGCTCCATAAAACCATAAAGATCACCTACTCCAAAACCAAAGAACTAGCTATATATAACACAATATAACATGGTGACATAACATATAACATATAATATATGATCAATATCTATGTATCCAACCCTCCATCTTCCACAGCTTCACTGACCTCAAGAGACTGCATATTGTCATGAATATTACCGGCGGAGGTATTACTATTATTGTTGGTCGTGCCCATCATCATCATCATCTCTTGCTGCTTCTTGACGGCACTCTTGTTGTTGTGCATCCAAACTTTTAGGACCTGTCGTTTCACCCCAACCTCCGCACAAAACCTCTCGACCTCCACCTCGTCTTGCTTCTGGATCCTCCACCCGACCTTCTCGGCAAACTCCAGCATCCTCTCCTTCTGCTCCTGCGTGAACTTAGTCCGAAACCGCTTCTTCGACAGCGCGAAAGGCGGCGGAGGGACCCCCTCCGCCGTCGACTGCCCGTACACGTTCAGATCCTCACTCGACGACTCCGTGCCAGCGGCCGCTACTCCGCCGAACGCCACGTTCATCGGCTGGACAATCGGGTACTTGTGGAGGTGATGGTGGTGGTGGGGATGATGATTTGGATGGTGGTGATGAAGCGAAGGAGACGGTAATGGTGGGGTGAGCTGTAGAGGATTGAGCATCAAAGCCGTGGTGGTAGTAGTACTCGATCTTCTCGACCCGGGGCTGTACAACTGAGTCTCTCCGTCGATCTCTTTCCGGTGGAAATTCCGGTGACATTGACAGGCGGCGCATTTTAGCGCCTCCAAGGAGCCTTCCTGGCCATTTGGCATGAACTCTCCACACCCATCGAACACGTTTCCGCCGACGCTGGCCGCGTGGTTCTTGAGGCATTCTCGGTACTTCACTGCCGACGACGTCGTTTTCGTCTTTGTAACGGCCGAGAGCGGCGAAAACGGCATCGGATCTGGGCTTTTGTTGTCCGGATCTCTGAGTGGTTGTTGGGCATGAAGCTGCACTGGTTGGTGCTGAAAAGAGCGAGGGTAGATATTATCTAGGGTTTGAGTAGTGCAATTACTAGTGGAATTGCCATTAGTAGAAGTAATTAGTGATTTTCTTCTTTCTGCTCCTGGGGATTGGTCTTTTGTTAGATGGGTGTAGTTAAGAGACCCGGTTGACGTAGTCCTCATTTGATCACTTTCTTGAGCTCTAAATTCCATGGTTATGAGCTGAAAACCTTGTTTAAATCTCCAACTTGTGTGTGGGCTAGGTATTAATTAAAAAGAGATCAGTACTACTACTGGTGTCTTCACTACTTCTGAGTCTTTGTCTCCTCCACTCTTGGGATTTTAAATCTTGCCCTTTTTCTCTCCTTCCATCTAATCAAAAGTAAAGAGAGAAAAATAACTCAAAACATATTATCAAAGTTAGCTTAACTAAAACATGCTTATAGTGTATGGGTTTTTTTTTTCCCAAGAAATATATCCAGCATTACGATGATAAAAGCTAAACCCACCAACCCAAAGCCGTTATTCAACAGTTGATCTCTTCTCTCTCTCTCTCTCTCTCTCTCTCTCTCTCTAAATTCAAGAGCTAGAGAGAGAGAGGGAGGAGTGTATTGTAAACCCCGTAAGGAAATATTAAAAATGCATGGTTCTGAAAATAAAAACAAAGAGAGAGAGGAAAAAAAAAAAAAAAAAAAAGCTTGAATGGGACCGAACTCACAGTTTTTAAGAAAGTGAAAGAGAAGAAGCAGCCGCAAACATTAAGCTAGCTAGCACCTTTAAGAATCATGCCTTGGACATCTCTAATGGTCTTCATTTAGGTAAACTAAGAGACTAGTAAGCAGAGAGAGAGAGAGAGAGAGAGACGGGGTATTTAGGGATTGTGCTTCTGTGCTTCCAACAAGAGACAGCTTGGTTGCTTGAGGTGTAGCCAGAGGAAAGATAAGAGAGAGAGAGAGAAACCCAAATGCCAAAAGAGATCCTGATGAGATTAAGGGGAAATTGGGGTACTACTTTTTTTTTTTCCCCCCTCTCTCTATCTCTCCTTCTTTCCTCTCTTTTTCTCTCTTTGCAGAATACAAAAACAACCGACAACGTCATGTTCAGCCCTCTCCCACGCCCTGCCAAGATGGGTCCCATACCCACCCCCTTCATTATTGCTCCTTTCCATTTCTTATCTCAACATACTTGACCTCTCAAAGTGACCCAAAGATACATTTTTATTTTTTTTTGGGTTTGGGTTTGGGTTTGCAGTAGTACTACTACACTCATGTCCCTGACGCGACTCGCTTCTCCTTTTTCCTCATAATCCCTTCAAAGCAGACGTCACAAACCCAATGTTTCCTTAATTAAACACATTTTGTGACACGTCTAATATGGCATGGTGAATCCATAACAACAGGAACTTATCATATATATATATATGTATATATATGTGTATATTATAATATATTTGGGTTTGAAGTGAAAATTTGGAAAATTGAATATACATGCAAAGCCAAGAAGGGTAAAAGTGAAAAGTGCTTTGCGAATGGTCCACAGTAGTGCTTTGTCGTGTTGCTCTCTTTCTCTCTCTCTCTCTTTCTCTCTTTCTCTCTCTATAACTTAGAGCAGGCAGCAATGCATACGCATAAAAACATGAAATGGGCTAATGGGCGGCTTCTGCGCCCTCTCTGTGACACCACGCGCGCTTACCCCCAAGCAACGTCTTTACCTTTCCGTGATGCAATCGATGTCTTTATTTTTGTCTCTCTTTCCACGTCTTTGCCTTGGTACTTGCTTGCCTCTACTGTTCTGTTGTTGTTGTTGTTGGTGCACTGGTGCAGTACAGCTTCCACCAATTGAAGCTCCAAAGCCTTTTACCAAAAGAAAAAAAAAATGAAGCTCCAAAGCCGTTTATTAATCATCAAAAGAAAAAATTTCCCCTTTTTTCTTTTTGTTTTTTCCAAAATAAAAAAAAACAACATAAAAGAAAATTAGGTTGAAATTTAAAAGTTATGTGAAGGGATGTCTCTAATTTGATCATGGGAAGAAAACTTTGATCGTGGGAAGAAACGACACGAAAAACGGAGGTACAAAGAGCGAACGGCGTCGTTCGGCATGCAGGCAATTAGGCCAAATTTCGGCATGGACCTAAGGGACCAGCGCATCCGCGTGGGCACACTGGAATGGCGCCGCGTTGCTGGACGTTTTTAGGAAACTATTTTTTGGAGATTTTCTCTCCGTTTTTAAAATGGAAAACTTGCTAAATGAATTTTAGGAGACTTGGAGGCTACACAAAGGGCATTGGGGGTTATTTAAGGGCAAGAAAACATAGAGAAACTTAATTGTATTCATCATTCTTCAATTGGGATTGTGAGAGAATATTGGAGAGTACAAGTGAGAGAGTGAGAGAAAACTGATAGAGGTTTCTTGGAGATTTCTCTTGTATCATTCTTGTAATCACTTGTGATTGATCATAGTAGATGAAAAAAATCATATTACAGGACGTAGGATCTCACATTGAAGTCCGAACCTAGGTAAATTCTATGTGTCGTTATTCTTCTTCCTTTTTTTCGCTATATTTTCCGCAATTATTTTTTACTTCGGATTTCTTGTTTGATTATTATTTCTCCGCAAACCGTTAATTTGTGTGCTTGAATCCGTGGGTCCTCATCACAAGTTGGTATCAGTGATTGGCTTAGGGCATGGATTTTTTGTGTGACGAAAGGTACGTGTCCGGAAGTGCTTGAATTTTTTCCAATTGAAAGGGTTCTATTGAAAAGTTGTTGAGATGGCTTCGACTTCTAAGGTTGATATTAAGAAGTTTGACGGGACGAATGACTTTAAGTTATGGAAGATGAAGATGTTGGTGCATTCAGGCAATAAGGGTTTCGAGAAGGCACTCGAGGGAGCATCAAAACTCCCGGCAACTATGGATGATGGGAAAGCAAGAGGTGCTCGAGAGGGCATACAACACTTTGATTCTCGATTTTAGTGATAAGATGTTACGAGAGATTGTGAAGATGAAGTCGGCAGCCGAAATTTGCTTGAAGCTTGAATCTTTGTACATGATGAAGAGTCTTTCGAACTGGTTGTATCTCAAGGCGAAGTTCTTCACCTTTAAGATGACAGAGAGCAAGGATATTCAGGAGCATATTGACGAGTTAAACAAGTTGATCATGGACTTGGAGAACATAGGTGTAACGACCGGAAAAATTTTAGGTTTATTTCGGACATTCCGGTATTTGACCGAAATTCTCTCTGGAACAAAAAGTAGTATAATTTTCAGTTTGATCAATGAGATGTTATGTAGAAACTTTATGTTCGGGGTAAAATTTCTCGAGAAGTGTAAAGTTATAATACAAATATTTTTACAAAGAAAATTCGTTAATATCAGTTGTGAATAGTGAAATATCGGCTAAAAGTTAGAAATTTTAACGGGTATATTTTAGTTATGAAAAACTGAAATATTTGGTAAGTGACCAAATGACCAGTTAGAAAAAGAGTAGAAATATTATAAGTAAGGAAAACAGCAAAAATTCCTGAAACAAAATTTTCCTAAGTCAGTTAAAGTGAAAAACTGCTAAAAAACCAGTACCGCGAGGGTACGCGTTTTGGGCAATTTTGAATCAATTAAAATGAGAATTTCAAAAATAGAAATTGACTAAAAAGATACCCAAGATAATTGGGTTGAACATGAGAAGTTTGACCCAGGGTACTCGACAGTCCAGAAAAGCAGTATAGAACCTATACCGATTGTGAAATTATCGGTACCGGAAAGAGACTCGTTTTGAAAAACGGAAAGTTGGGTCTCGACAAGAAAAATGTGGGGAACATAGAACCACTCAAGTTAAGTGTTAAACTTAAGTAGAATTAGTAAAATTAAATTATGAGAATTAAAGTAATTTCTTTACTTTAATTTAGAAAGTAATATTAAGATATTATTAGAAATATTAATATAATATTCCATTACACTTAAAAATGGCCTACGGATGACATTAGAAGCCAAATATGGTTTCTTTTCCTAAGTGTTGCCGAGAGAAGAGGGAAAAGAGGGAAAAGAGAGAAAATCCAAGGAATCACTCATTTTCACCGAAATTCCTTCTGTTCAATCCGGTAGAAACATAACCCGATGCGATCTAGCGGAGAATCTCAACTTTTAAAGGTAAGATTTCGGATTTTTCATGAGAAACTGCATGCTTTTTCGTTTTGATGAATAGTAACTCATCTCGAAAAAAATCCGTAAAACTAAAAAACAAAACCGAGGTTTTGTCGGAGACTGTGATATGAGTCTAACGTGTAAGTATTGAAACGATTTAACAAAATTTTTTGAATTTGCACTAAGAATCCGAAAAACCCTAGAAATGGAGAAAATGTGTTTTTGTTCAATTTATGTTAGAATCTGTGTTCAGGAATGTGAATCTTGACTCTAGGTACTGAAATCGAAAATAGAACGAGTTATTGAAAACTCAGAATTTCCTAAAATCTAGTTAGTAAGCAATGAGTTAGTAATCCGATTTTAGAGAATGAATAACAGTTTTAAAGCTCGGAAATGAATAGATTACGATTCAGAAACTGAGATACATGAATATGTGTAAATTGCCTATTGAGCTGGAATTCGGCCTAGAGGGGAAAAAAGTTCAAAAATGAGTTGAAATGGATTTAGGAATCTAAGTATGAGGAATTGTGATTTGAAATAGGAAATTTATACATATTTCCATGAAACAGGTTTTGGCACGAGAGCCGAAGCAACAGGAAAGAACTTCAAGCAAGCGGGAATCCTAGCGGATTACCGGTAAGTATAGACATATATGTTTGTCTGGACTCAAGTAAGCTGTAGTTAGACTTAGAACTATGAATTTACTTATGTTCCGAAGTCTATGTGATTATACGTGTTTGGAGGGCTTAGTGCTCTAGATTGTAGAAAGGCGTCATATGGTTACCCTTATGCACAGTTAAAGTATGCAAGAAGTATTATGCATTTTATGTTAGCATGTGCACGTAGAGATAACGTTACATATCATTCAGTAAAGTTTTTGACACTTTGAAATGAAAAACCTAAAGTTTAGAAATGTAAAAAGACTGACGAGTCGTCGGCCTTCCAAGGGAGGAAAATCTCAAAGAGTAGAGATTCTGACTAGACCAGACAGTAAGCAGTGCCAGTAAAGTAAAAGACTGACGGGTCGTCGGCTTCTCAAGGGAAGAAAATCTCAAAGAGTAGAGATTCCGACTAAACCAGACAGTAAGCAGGGGCCCAGGCCCACAGTAGTAAAAACAGAAAGACAGAAAACAGTTTAAAGCATGTTACACACGAGCACATTTGCATCATAACTCTTAATGTAATTTTGACTAGTTTATGATGTCCGCATGTTTATACTTGCTGAGCGTTAGCTCGTCAGTTTACTCGTGTGCAGGTAACAAAGGTAAGCAGCTAGCCATATAGTGGTTTTGCTTGATGGACATGCGGAGGCAAGGTGGTGGAAATGTCATGGGTACACGGGAGTGGTCTCTACTACGCTCGCTTAGAAAATAAATTCGGCTGCAGATTAATGTAACATAGAACACTAGTATGTATGTTCAGTTTTAAGAAAAGGATATTACAACCATTGTCTTAGTAAAGAACAACGGACTGTAATAAATTAAGACAAGTTTTCGGGGACTAGTTTGATATCCGAATCCTTAAAGTAAAAGCAAGATATGTTATTAGCATAATGACATAACATGTTAAGAACCCGAGGGTTAAAGTAAAGAAAAAAAAAATTACCTGAATATGAACGTAATTTAAAGAGACTATAGTCTAGAGATGCACAATGGATTAGACTATAACTTAGCATATTAGTAAATAGTATTGACTGAAAGGCTTAGAAGCCTTAACTTTTGTGATACTTTGTATATGATGTGATATGTATGAAATGGGACATGTATATTAGAAGAACATATAGAATGTATGTTTTGCTAGTCGTTATGAGAATGAATGGTAGTTAAAAGTGTAGCCAGTCAAGAAATTCTTGAAGCAGTTCTTTTTGCACTTAGACTAGCTATGTTGCTCCTTTGATCGGTATAGACACAACAACATGGTTTGTACACGTCCAAAGAGAACACAAGCAGAACATAATCCTCCCGCACCAGACCTAGCTGAAGAAGTAGCAGGTCTCAGGGGGCAAATAGCAGCCCAAGCTTAGGAAAGCAGACAGTTGAGAGAATTGCTTACCCAGTTAATTCAGGGTCATCAAGTTGGAGGAGCACCCCCTCCACAGGCTGTGCCAGCACAAACCGCCCAACCTGAGCAACCCCCAGAGAGGGTTGAACGCCAAGAGCCAGTAAGGGGTGAGATGGGGCACCGAGTGATGGTCCCAAGGGAACCATTGTATGTGAGGTTTAAGAAGATGTCACCTCCAGAGTTTGATGGGTCAACAGATCCACTAGAAGCCGAGGAATGGTTAGCATCCATTCAGAGAGTGTTTAAGTTTATGAAACTCACCGACAGGGAGAAGATACAATGCGATGCTTTTGTATTGAAGAAGGATGCCCGCTATTGGTGGGAATCAGTGTGCGCTAGAAGGAATGTGAGACAGATGTTATGGGATGAATTCCTATGGGAATTTAACCGTAAGTATTACAACTTAGAAGCCCTGAAGACTCAGCATAATGAGTTCAACAATTTCAAATAGGGCGACATGACAATTGTTGAGGCATTCTGACGATTTGATCAGTTGGCACGACTGTGTCTTCAGTTGGTTCCAACAGAGGAAGAGTTGGTTAGGAGGATGGTTAATATGCTCCGAGGAGATAGCCACCGTTGTGGAAAGTGGGGGGTATCCACCAACCACGGTAGCTGATCTAGTGAACTGGGTAATACGCGCGGAGCATAATATTGCCAAATCTAAAGATGAACGAGCTAAGATGTGGGAAGATAAGAAGAAGCAGAGAGAAAAGGCACAGGCATCCACCAAGCAGAGCCCCAATGCTAATCCACAAAGCCAAGGAAGCCGAAGTGACCAGGGATCGAAACCTGGATAGGGCATCCAGTAAAACCCCAGTAAAAGGAAAGGGAATCACAATCAGAATCAACGAAATCCCCAACAGAAGCAGGACCAGTACACCAGTCCTAGTGTTCCTATCTGCCTGACGTGTGGAAATAAACACTTCAGAGAATGTAAAGCCGGCACAGATGTATGCTATACGTGTGGACATAAAGGACATTATGCAAGGTAGTGTCCGTTCAAAGCAAGATCTCCTAGAACGGCACCACAAAGGCCACAAGTTCTGTAATTTCACGCCATGCAAACGCAGAGGGTATTCCCGACCCCTCAGCCAAACAGATCAGAAGCTTCTCCACAGGTCAATGCTCACTTAATGACATACACCAAGGAGGAAGCTGAAGCAGGCATGTCCAACGTAGTGGCAGGTCAGCTTACTGTTGCCCATGTCCCTGCACGAGCATTATTTGATTCAGGAGCCACACATACATTTGCATCAGTAGAATTTGTTAAGTGAATACTACATCCTCAAGAAAATATAGGGCAAGCCTTTAAGACAGCGCTACCATCAGGTGACGTGTTGTTGTCTAGTCACTGGTTACGTCATGTACCAATAGAGATAGCAAGAAAAGAACTAAGTTTAGACCTAGTTGTACTGAACTTAGTAGATTATGATGTGATCCTAGGAATGGATTTTCTAGGAAAGTATAATGCTACAATAGACTGTAGAAAGAAAAAAGTAGTTTTTCAGTCAGAAGGAAAAAAGATGTTTGTGTATATGGTTTCCACATCAGGGACACCCAGACGTTTTATTAGTTCCCTAGAAGCCCAACGATTGATGTGCAGCGGATGCTCCGGATATTTGGCGTATGTGGTGGATAGAAACCAAGAGGGGAAACATCAGCCAGAAGATGTTCCAATAGTCAAGGAGTTCCTAGACGTTTTTCCAGAGGAACTACCCGGACTTCCTCCAAATCGGGAAATAGCTTTTGAGATAGAGCTTCTCCTAGGCACCGCACCAATATCCAAAGCACCGTACAAGATGGCTCTAGCGGAACTGAAGGAGTTGCGGGTTCAACTCCAAGAGATGTTAGACAAAAGCTTCATCAGACCGAGTTTCTTGCCATGGGGAGCTCCAGTCCTCTTTGTCAAGATGAAGAATGGCACGCTTCGGATGTGTATAGACTATAGAGAGCTCAACAAAGTCACCATCAAGAACAAGTACCCATTGTCACGAATTGATGACTTGTTCGATCAATTGAAGGGAGCTACCATTTTTCGAAGATCGACCTTCGATCGAGGTATCACCAGCTCAAGATTAGAGAAGACGACATTTCCAGGACGACATTCATAACTCGGTATGGACACTACGAATTCTCAATGATGCCATTTGGACTTACAAACGCCCCAACAGCGTTTATGGACCTTATGAGCAGAGTTTTCAGAGAATATCTAGATAAGTTTGTTATTGTTTTTATCGATGACATCCTTATATACTCACGAGATCCACAGGAGCACGCATAACATTTAAGGATCGCACTACACACGTTGAAGAAACATCAGCTATATGCAAAGTTTTCTAAGTGCGAGTTCTGGTTAGATAAAGTCCATTTCCTCGGACATGTAGTATCTAAGGAAGGAATCACCGTGGATCCAACAAAGGTTGAAGCTGTTGAAAGGTGGCCAGTTCCAAAGAGTGTTACGAAAATTCAAAATTTCCTAGGATTGGTAGGGTAATACAGAAGGTTTGTGGAGGGATTTGCTCATCTTGCAGCTCCTCTCACTGCCTTAACCGAAAAAGATAGAAGGTATGAGTAAACAGATAAATGTGAGCAGAGTTTTAGGGAGATCAAAAGAAGGTTAACTAGTGCTCCAGTGCTCACGATCCCAGAAGATGGAGGAAAATTTGACATCTACAGTGATGCTTCAAAAACAGGACTAGGAGTTGTGTTAATGCAAAATGGCAGGGTTATTGCTTACGCATCTCGGCAACTGAAGGATCGCGAGCACAATTACCCGATGCATGATCTTGTGCTAGCTGCAGTAGTCTTTGCGCTCAAGTTATGGCGGCATTACCTATATGGAGTTCAATACCAAATTTATACGGACCATCAGAGCCTAAAGTGCTTCTTCACGCAGAATGAGCTTTATATGAGACAGAGACGATGGCTTGAACTTGTGAAAGACTATGATTGTGAAATCTGTTATCATCCAGGTAAAGCCAATCGTGTAGCAGGCGCCTTGAGTAGAAATCTAGCACTGTGGACTCCAGTGGAGACCAAATTGTTGCCCAAGCAGCTTCGACAAGAGATTAATCTCCTAGATCTTGAGTTAATCTCCGGTAAGTTAGCTTCTCTGAGACCATAGCCTGTGCTACAAGATGAGATACAATAAGCTCAAAAAGGTGATCCAATTATGGATAGATACAGGACAGTGATGGTAGAGAATGCAAAGTTGAATTTCAGCCTGTCAGAGGACGGAATTCTCTTGTACCAAAGAAGAATTTGTGTACCGGATCAAGAAGCAAATACTAGCGGAAGCGCACAACACGCCATATTCCGTACACCCAGGTGCCACCAAAATGTATCAAGACTTGAAGCAACATTTTTGGTGGAAGTGAATGAAGAACGACATAGTTGATTATGTTAGTCGTTGCTTGACATGCCAGAAAGTCAAAGCAGAACATCAGAGACCAGCTGGTAAATTACAGCCACTAGAGATTCCAGAATGGAAGTGGAAACACTTAACCATGGATTTTGTGACTGGACTTCCGAGAACCAGTGATGGATATGATGTCATCTGGGTAGTAGTGGATCGGTTAACGAAATCAACGCATTTCATTCCGATCAAAATAACTTACTCCTTAGAGAGATTAGCTGAGTTATACGTGGCTAAGGTAGTAAAGCTACATGGAGTACCAGTTAGCATAGTATCAGACAGAGACATCCGATTTACCTCCAATTTTTAGAGAAGTGTTCAGGAAGCGATAGGGTCAGAATTACGCTATAGCACAGTGTTTCATCCCCAGAACCTCGAAGATATGCTTCGAGCTTGCGCTATGGACTTCAAGGGTGCATGGAGTATGAAGTTGCCATTGATTGAATTTTCGTATAATAACAGTTATCAAGCTTCCATCGGCATGGCTCCGTATGAAGCACTTTACGGAAGGAAGTGTAGATCCCCAGTTCATTAGTATGACACTCGGGAAAAATAGCTTCACAAGACAAAATTCGTTCAAGAGGCCATTGAGACAGTGCAGAAGATCTGTCGAAGACTAGACACGGCCCAGAGCCGGCAGAAGAGTTATGCAAATAAACGCTGTAGACCCTTGGAATTTTCTGTAGGGGACTCCGTATTCCTGAAAGTCGCACCAATGAAGGGTGTGATGCGTTTTGGGAAGAAAGGCAAGTTGAGCCCACGGTACATAGGACCTTTCGAGATCATTGAAACAATATGAAAGGTAGCTTACCGACTAGCTCTGCCGCCAAATTTGGCTTCAGTATACAATGTGTTTCATGTAGCAATGCTCCGGAAGTACATCTCGGATCCATCGCATGTGTTACAGTATGAGCCTATCCAGGTTCACGACGATTTGTCCTGTGAGGAACAACCAGTTCAGATTCTAGCCAGAGAAGAAAGGAAACTCAGAAGTCGTAGAATTGCAATGGTTAAAGTTCAGTAGAAAAATCATAATATTGAAGAAGCCATTTGGGAAGTAGAAGAAGAAATCAGACAGAAGTACCCCATTTGTTCTGATTTTCGGGATGAAAATTTCTTAAAGAGTGGTGGATGTAACGACCGAGAAAATTTTAGATCTAATCCGGACAGTCCGGTATTTGACCGAAATTCTCTCTGGAATAGAAAGTAGTAGAATTTTCAGTTTGATCAAGGAGATGTTATGTAGAAACTTTATGTACGGGGTAAAATTTTTCGAAAAGTGTAAAGCTATAATACGAATATTTTTACAACGAAAATTTGTAAATATCGGTTGTGAATAGTGAAATATCGGCTAAAAGTTAAAAATTTTAGCGGGTATATTTTAGTTATAAAAAATTAAAATATTTGGTAAGTGACCAAATGACCAGTTAGAAAAAGAGTATAAATATTATAAGTTAGGAAAACAATAAAAATTCCTGAAACAGGATTTTCCTGAGTCAGTTAAAGCGAGAAACTGCTCAAAAATCAGTATCGCGAGGTTACACGTTTTAGGCAATTCTGAATCAATTAAAATGAGAATTTCAGAAAAAAAAAATTGACTAAAGAGATACCCAAGAGAATTGGGTTGAATATGAGAAGTTTGACCCAGGGTACTCGACAGTCTAGAAAAGCAGTATAGAACCTGTACCGGTTGTGAAATTATCGATACCGGAAAGAGACTCGTTTTGAAAAACAGAAAGTTGGGTCTCGACAAGAAAAATGTGGGGAACATAGAACCACTCAAGTTAAGTGTTAAACTTAAGTAGAATTAGTAAAATTAAATTATGAAAATTAAAGTAATTTCTTTAATTTAATTTAGAAAGTAATATTAAGATATTATTAGAAATATTAATATAACATTCCATTACACTTAAAAATGGCCTACGGATGACATTAGAAGCCAAATATGGTTTCTTTTCCTAAGTGTTGCCGAGAGAAGAGGGAAAAGAGGGAAAATAGAGAAAATCGAAGGAATCACCCGTTTTCATCAAAATTCTTTCCGTTCAGTCCCGTAGAAACATAACCCGAGGTGTTCTAGCGGAGAATCTCAACTTTTAAAGGTAAAATTTTGGATTTTTCATGAGAAACTGCATGCTTTTTCGTTTTAATGAATAGTAACTCATCTCGGAAAAAATTCGTAAAATTAAAAAACGAAACCGAGATTTTGTCGGGGACTGTGATAGGAGTCTAATGTGTAAGTATTGAAACAATTTAGCAAAATTTTTTGGATTTGCACTAAGAATATGAAAAACCCTAGAAATGGAGGAAATGTGTTTTTGTTCAATTTATGTTGGAATCTATGTTCAGGAATGTGAATCTTGACTCCAGGTACCGAAATCGAAA